TAGGCGTGTTGAAGAAGTTTCCTTAGAATTCTTTTAAAGCAGAGGTTAGTGACACCAAACAATGAAATAAAATATGTATTCTGTGTCAGTAATAAAAAAAATTTGCAATTCAGGGAATATTTAGCTTACAGATTCCAAACCAAAAATAAAGCTACAAAAAAGGATACACTGAACATACAAGAATGCTGAACATGAGATTTAAAAAAGTGAAAAGTCATATTACTACATCTTAGATCAACAAGTGCTGAGTGCCTGTTGATTTTAAACAAAATGAGGCCTTTTGCTCAGAAGATAATAAAGTAGTGAACCAAAGACTAATTTGGCAAAATCTTGCCATTACTTGATCACATAATCCGTATATAAAAGTTTATTTGCTTCTTCAATAGTTTCTTTCAAGTTTTGTGATTCTGTATGTGAAACTGGAAAATATATATAAAAATAATTCTGCGCAACTCAGAATTCAATCTACACCAGTGATCAGTAAACCATTTTTAGATATTTCAGTAGTAGATGTTCATGCAGATGTGTCATTTCTAAGATTAAAAAAAAAAAAAACAAACAAACAAACAAACAAAAAACCCCTTACATTCACATAATTAAAAGCTGCATGCATATAACTGTTTCTGTTTCTTATTCTCACAAAGTGTAAGGAGCAAATAATGGACTCTTTAATCTTGTAAATAAAAATGGAGGCTCAACTTTGAAAATGATAAAAAATGTTTTTAGATTGAATAAGTTATTAATCAAGTTCTATATATGTCATCAGTGTATTTATCAGTGAATTGCTTTCACTGCTTAGTTTTAGCAGTTTCTGAAAAATGGCATTGGTGTACAACTCTGAAATTTGTAAAAAAAAAGACATTCATAAAGATTGTATTTTCTTCATAATCATGACAAACAAAAAACTAGATCTGATAATCAGTCCTGTTTATGAAACAAAGTGTTTCCAAAGATTAAGAAAATAAGATGAAACATTTACATGAACAACCTCAGAAACAACAACAAAACACTGTCCAAAAATCACTGGAAAGAAATTGTAGTGTTACAAGGCATAGTCCTTTGTATGGCAGATAGTCACATTATAATGTTCTTCTATAAGCTTACAAAGCATTATCTTTAAGCTAAATTTCAGAATAATGTTTTAATTTCTAAATTTTTTTGTATCAGTGTGATTCTAATATATAATTTTTTAATTTCATAATCTATTCAAGTGCTTTGTTCTTACAATGTTGTTTAAAATTTAAGCATTCTGTTCTTTCCTTGTGACCTAAGAATCTAGAAAGATTAGTTGCATCTGTTATTTAGACTGCTTTACTATGTAAGAAAATAAACTTTTCATTGACACAAATTGGATTTAAAATTACTTTCTATTGAAAAACAAACAAACAAACAAACAAAAAACCCTAAACTCTCACAGATAGAACACCAGTGAAGAAAAAGCACTAATAAGGAAAAGACCATGTAACAAAAATGAAAGAAAAAGATATAATTATATAATTATTTCTAGAGAACTTTTAAATATATTCTAATATATCTATATGCATAGATAGAGATATAAGGTAAAGCTAAATTTTGTATGAAGAAACTTTCTGTGTTGAATGTAGTTGTAAAAGTTTTGACAGCAGAGGGGCACAGAAGTGGCCTCTATGGGGAGAAGTTAGGGCTGCCCTATCTACTGGAGGGACACAACCTATTCTAGCCTGCTTCAAAGGACCCACTGCAAGCCATGACTGGAACCATGGCAGATGTGTTTCTGTGAAAATGTAGGGCAGGAGGGGAAAAAAAAAATGCAAAAAGTATCCAAACACAAAGAGAGAAAGAAGAGGAAGAAATTAGTGAGAAACAATGGCAGAGGTTGAAGGGTTTTGATGGGGTTCCTGACAGAGCAGATGTCCCACATCTTAAGTACTGTTTTCAATTCTGGGCCCCTCAATACATGAAAGACATTTAGGCACTGGTGCATATCCAAAGAAGGACAACAAAGCTGATGAAGGATCTAAAACACAAATCTTAAGAGGAGTGGCTGCAGGAACTGAGATTGTTCAGCCTGGAGATGCAGAGGCTCAGGAGAGACCTTAACACTCTCTACAACCATTTGAAAGGAAATTACCTCTTCTCCCACTAGTAGTAATAGGACCTGAAATAATTATTTTAACTTGCACCATGGGAAGTTCAGGCTACATATTAGGAAAAAACGTATTCTCAAAAAGAGTGGGTTGCTATTGGAATATATTGCCAGAGAAGTAGTGAAGTCATCATCCGTGGAGATGTTCAAGAAAACAGTAGATGCCTCACTGAGTGACATGGAGTACTGAACGTGATGGTGGCAGGTTGATTGTTGGACTAGATGATCTTAGTGATTTTTTCCAACCTCGATGATTTTATGATTCTGTAGTTCTATGACTCTATGATCTATTAGCTGCTGGACATTTACAAGAAAATTCAAGATAGATTTTTGTAAAAGCAAAAGAAAAGATTTGGATTTTTTGTAAGTGAAAAACATGGAATGTGATGTAACACAACTGTAAGGCTAGAAGTCTAATTTGTAAATTCTTATTTTTATGCACAAATTGTTTTTATGTAGAATCCTAATTTCAGATAGAATATAAAAAGTTTACTGTTCTTCAGATTTTTACATCATTCATTTTTGTCTACTCTAAACTGCCATTTCACGTATCCATAAATAAAAATGTATTTAAAATATTAGTCATTTTTTATAGGTTATTATGAACCTATTAATAGGAACCAGTAAAGACATTATGGATGAATTTTGTTTCAAGTTCTAAGAGGAATTTGTATTTTTTTTTTTTTTTAAACACCGAGATTAAATTGAAATGCTGTCAATTATCAGTAAGGTTACTGCTTTCTACTTATTTTTTCACCTATCAGCTCTGAAAGAAACCACATACCTATCTCTTTAAGATGTCCTGATGGATATATAAACATGGCATTAATTGCTCAGTGGAATTGCTGGCTTTAGTCTCAAAGTCCGATCCTTTGTGAATTCTGATTGGTACTGATGTTTACTGAGTCAGTCAAAAACTTTGTATTATATCAAAGTCTATCTCAATTCTCCATAACTGCAAATTCATGTAAAACTTAGAGACTTTCTTACACTGATCAAAATTATCATTTTAATGGCCTAAGAAAAGTACAGACAGGAAGAAATAGTTAAGTAACTACAGATTTAAGACCTTAACATCATCAAAAAAATCTTAATTTTTAAAAAGAAAGAATGATACAAGCAAATAATATTTATGAAGAGATTAGGTCTTTCTCTGGCTTTTAATCATTATCTAGCTTCCTAGAATGCAAAACAATTTAATTTATGGGAGCAATGGAAAACCTGATGGATTCTTGGGACAGTTTTCATTTAAGAAATAGAACCAGTCTATTTGGTTACATACATTTGTACTTCATAATTTATTCATTTTGCTCTAAAACTCTGCCTTCTCTTTCATTAAAGAAATATGTGTGACACATTTGTGTATACTAATGAGAAATATCTGCATGCTTTTCATTCCTTGAATTTGTCCAGTTCCTTTATGGCTGTATGTGGGACTAGTGCAGCCATCCATTTGTTTCCAATGCTTAAGAGAATACTAATCCTTTTGTATGCATGTGCCAGGAGGACATTCAAAGTATATAAAAGAATGCTCCAGAGTTAAAAATGAAGATCAAGATTTTTGTTGAAGCATATAAAGTATCACAATGCTAACAGAATGTATAGACACGAAATTCATTCAGCTCAACAGCATCACTTTTGGTGCTTTAAAAATAGATCGTATATATATTTTTTTCTGATGGACTGCTTAATTCTATGAAGCTCTGAACAGTAATTTTTCCTTAGTATTTCTTCCTGGTTGGCCAATATGCTTTAAAAATTAGGATGATCAGAAGACTCAGGCAAAGGATGAAGTCTCTTATTGAGTGGACACAGGTGTTGTATTAGGTGCCCTCGGGGCTATGGGATGTGATGTGACAGGACCTCCCCTGCTCAGTGATTGGATAATGCATGCTTAAGGAGTGTATACAAAATAGGAGATGAATGTATTTAAACAGATGCCATGTGGTAATAAACGCCATTTTTCTGTCCACCACATTGGTGTATGCTGGCAGTTCTTGATCCTGATCAGGGACTGATCAGTTAAGCAAAGGGTGATACAGCGTAATCTTAACATTTGTGGCAACACACAGGTGCCCCCTGTGAGGAACGCTGTGTCTTTTTACCCTTTGCAAGAGTGCTATACCGGGGTGACGACGGTGCACTCAGCCTGCAGTAGTGCGGGGACACGGGGTGACGACGCGGCGCTCAGTTTGCAGTGGTGTGGGGACCTGAGGTGACGGCAGGGCACCTGCGGAGGACTGCAGAGGTGATGGTTTGGTTCGCAAGCTTTCTCCGGTGCTGGGACTTTTACTATGGAATAGGTCATTAAGGTATTGCTTCAATTTTGTCAAGATCAATGCGGGAAGAATGCTCCTTCTAAGAAGGATGTTCACGTTGTTATATACCGGTTTGAAAGGGAGGAGGCAATTAAAGCTCCCCAAGAGATTCTCGATCACAGGAGGTGGGACGATCTCACCTCCGTGCTCGCACAACATGTTATGAGTGATCAAAAGGATTGCTTAGAGCTAAAAACTTGGGGATTAATACTTCCCCGGGGGAAGACTCACCCAGCAGCACAGCTAATGCGATAGACCCGGGGGGGTGGGGGGTGGCTCTTTCTTGGTCAGGGGGTGAGGCTTGTCAGCCGGGGAATAGCCTCTCTTCCAGATGCCCTGAGGCCAAGATGGCGCTGGATGATCTGACCACACCTGCACAATCACCAACGGACCAGCAACCATTGACCCACTTATCAGGTGGCAGCACCTTATCGCAAGACCTTGAGTCCCCTCCTCCATATCCTCAGCAGTTTTTGTATCCTTCCCTGTGAAATTTCACCACACCTATAAAGGCGGAGACAGAGGCGGAGACAGAGGCAGAGTCGGGGGTAGTGCGGATGAGGGGCGGTGGGTCCGCTCTTCGTCTGGGGGAGGAGAGTAGGTGGGGTGACACCCCTGATGGGGCAGGAAATACGTGTGTCAGCAACTGGCAAAAGGTTAGAGAGCCGCTGCAAGAAAGGGGCTTGGTTACCATATTCCCTGTAGTAGTAGGGGAGGAGGGACCGGAATGGGTCCCATTGGACCCAAAGGGAATTGCGCTGTTAATAGAAGAGATAGAGAAGAAGGGGTTGAAATCACCTCTAACACTGAACGCATTAGAGGCCCTAACTGAACCAGGCCATACGCTCCTCTATGACATTGAGAACCTCATATGCATGGCACTCAAACCTGTACAATATACACTTTCAAAAGAGGAATGGTTGATTGAACTCAGGTGGGTAATAGCAGCTGCACAAAACAATCCAGGTCACCCTGTGCACGGCACGAACATGCTGAGACTTACAGGATCAGCAACAGGCATGGTTACCCCACGCGGTCAGTTAGCTCAGTTGTGCCCAGGGGAATTAATAGCGACTACTGATGCAGCCTTAGGGGCCTTCAGGAGGTTCGCCTGCCATGCAGAACCATCCACACCATGGACAGAAATAATCCAAGGCCCGACTGAGTCATTCCAAGACTTTGCCAATAGGTTAATTAAGGCGGTTGAGGGGTCAGACTTACCCAGGGCTGTTCATGGCCCTGTAATTGTGGACTGCCTTAAGCAAAAGTCCCTTGAGGATATTAAAAATCTATTTCATGTGGCCCCTGGAGAGATCACCACACAGGGAGAGATCATTAAATATGTACTAGACAAACAGAAATCCACTCCCTTGACTAATGAGGGCCTGGCAGCCGCTCTTGCTGACGCAATGGCAGTGGCTTCAATGTCGCCTAAGGGTCCCTGCTTCCAGTGTGGGCAGTACGGCCATATTAAGACCCAGTGTAACGCCATTAAGGATGGGGAAAGGGACAGTGTCTCCTGTCAACTGTGTGGAAGAGGGGGACATAATGACAGTGTAGGATCTTTAAAATGCAGCTGCAGGGAAACAACAGGGGGAGGGTGCCTCAGGCCCAGGGCCCCTCCCACAACCATCAGAATGAGCCAGTACAGCAGACGTCCTTGCCCAACCCACCAGTTCTGCCAACCCCGCTGTTGAAATTTATAACACCCCCACCGTGGCATTAACCCTAGACTGCCAGGACTGCCCACTGGTCAGGATTTTCATGTCGCACATTAGCCTGCCGCCTGAATTCTCAGGCTGCTGTTCCATCATGGTCACAGCCCTTCTTGACTCAGGGGAAGACGTTACGATGATTTCAGACAGAGTCTGGCCCAAGGAATGGCTAGTGGGCCCGACTAAAGTCCTCAGAGGAGTAGGAGGGTCTATTTCCGCTACAAGGTGCCTAGGAGAAGTAGAGATCATTTTAGTTAACAGGGACGGCTCATTGGAGAGAGCCGCTCTGCTCGTCCTGCTCATTGCTAAAATCCCAGGCATGCTGTTAGGGTGGGACTTTCTGAATAGGGTGGGTGCACGTATCACAAATTTATAATAAGGGCCACTGTCTGCCAGCTATCTTCTGCATACGCGACACCCTTGCAGTGGAAATGGGATGCGCGCCCATTTGGATAGATCAGTGGCCTCTTCCTCACGAAAAACTTAAAGCACTCACACAATTAGTCTCACAAGAACTTCAGTTAGGGCACATAGAACCCTCTCTCAGCCAATGGAATACTCCGATCTTTGTCATAATGAAATGCTCTGGTGCCTTCCGCCTGCTGCATGATTTACGAGCAGTCAGTGCTCAACTTGTGCCTTTTGGAGCAGTGCAGCAAGGCGGGCCAGTACTGTCAGCCATACCCAGGCGATGGCCATTAGTGGTCATTGATATAAAGATTGCTTCTTCTCTATTCCTCTTGTGGAAGAGGATCAGGAAGCGTTAGCTTTCATGGTACCAAAGCTCAATAACCTGGGCCCCACTGAGAAATTTCAGTGGCATGTCCTTCCACAAGGGATGACATGCTCTCCCACTATTTGTCAGCTAGTGATGGGTAAAGTGTTGCACTCAGTTAGAAGAGATTTCCCTCAGTATTTGATCTCACATTACATGGATGACCTCTTGCTCGCCGCCCCTACTGAGTTGGGGCTACAAATGCTCGAATCACAGGTGATGACCATGCTTACCACCGCTGGGTTCACCATTTCGGAGCAAAAGATAAAGAGGGGACCAGGAGTGGAATACCTGGGGTATAAGTTTGGCCCAGAGATGGTCCAGCCAATGGGTCTTACCATTCAACCACACATTAAGACCCTATGGGACGTGCAGAAACTGGTAGGAGCCCTTCAGTGGGTTCGCAGTGCCCTGGGAATATCTCATCAACTAATGAAGCCCTTTTATGATCAGCTAAGGGGTTCTGACCCAAAGGAACATAGGGACTTGACCACCGCAGCTTGGCAAGAGATCATGCATAGCTACATGGAGAATACATTTGCTCGGTACAACCCCGATTCAGATCTTGAAATAGCAGTGACTCGATGCGAGGCCAGTGTGGCCGCCATTTTGGGCCATACTCTTAATGCCAAGCCACAACCTCTGTGGTGGTTGTTCTCAGTGCAGCCTACGCGAGCTTATCCCTCATGGCTCGAGATTTTAGCAATGCTACTCAGAAAATCCCGACAGCTATCATTGTGGGCCCTAGCAAGAGAGCCTGATGTGATATATCTGCAGAGCTCATTTTGTGACGTGCAACTGCTCCCTGAGGCCCTTCTCACAGCTTTAGGGAGCTTCGGAGGGAGCATTGAGTTCTCTGACTTACTTCCTATTTTCGATTTAGCCAGACCTCTAGGAATCTCTCTTTGATCTCATGTCCTGACTTCTCCACTCAGTGGACCCACTCTGTTTACAGATGCTTCTTTGACTATCGGTCAGGGGGCAGTGGTTCAGCAGGACACGGATAACAGTTGGGGAACTGCTGTATTTACTAATCGGGGGGCTAGTGTGCAGATGTTTGAGATAATGGCTGTAGCGATTGCGCTTTGCCTCTGGCATGAGATCTCATGTAACATTGTCACTGATTTCTGCCTTTACAGCCAAACTACTTGCCCGTATGGGTCAAGAAGGACATCCGAGCTCTGAGGCCGCCGGCCTTCTGGAAGAAGCCCTGGCTTCTTGCTCAGCCCTTGTGGCCATCCTGCATGTCCGCAGCCATTCTGAGGTACCAGGTTTCTTTACAACAGGATGTTGTAATTTGTCTGCCAATGCTGTGGCAGACAAAGCCACCTGTACACTTGTTTTCACAGTTAGAGAAGACCATAACCTTCATGCTCTTCACATAGGCGCTCGTGTGCTGGCCAGAACGTGCTCTATTCCTTTATCTGTAGCACGCGATGTCGTCCAGGCATGTCCCCACTGTAATTCAGCACCAGTGATAGGAGCTGGGGTTAACCCTTGTGGTCTTGGACCACTACAAGTTTGGCAGACAGATTTTACGTGGGAGCCACGTCTGTCTCCCCACCCCTGGCTCGCGTTTACAGTGGATACTTCTTCTACTGTCATCATAGCCATGCAGCATGCCAAGTCTAACTCGTCCGCTGCACAATACCATTGGGCTGCTGCCATTGCTGTAATGGGCTTACTTAGGCAGATTAAGACCAATAATGGGTCCTGCTTCACCTCATACTCAACCCAAGAGTGGCTAGCACTATGGGGCAGGCGATCATAGAGCATGCCAATCACCTCCTCAAGGACAAAATATGCGTCCTTGGGGAGGGGGAGGCATATAGGTACAAGATCCCTGTTGCCAGACAGGCGGAGTTCCTAGCAAAAGCTCTGTATGCCTTGACTCACTTTGAACGCGGAGATTGCATTCAAACTCCCATACAGAAACACTGGCAACCCAAGATCTTAAGCGGGGGGCCTCCGGTCAAGGTTAGAGTGGACAGCAGAACATGGGAGACAGGCTGGAGGATACTAGTATGGGGAAGAGGATATGCCACAGTAAAAACATGAAGAGACGGGCAAAATTGTATGGGTCCCATCACAGAAGGTTAGACCGGACCTCAAAAATAACACTGTCAATCACTTCTCACATTCCTATAGTGAACAAGATAAGATCTCTTTCTTTACAGAAGCTGCTGGTAGAGATGCTGAAGCCGGAATCAGAACAACCAAGACACTCACTGCAGGACAAGGAACCATTGCTTAAGTACAAGATGGGTCTGTGTAGTATGTCTGTTACACTCTTACTAACCCGGGGAAGGGGTTCATCTCTTAGCACAATGCATCTATGCCAAGATGTGGAAGGTATGTGCTGCTTCAACCTGAGTGACCCCAGTGAATCTGCACACAAGAAGCTGGAATGATGAAGGGACATACTCAGAAGATAAAAGAACAGGTCGACCCGTTTGGTGATTGGCTTTGGGGACTATTTGGTGGGATTGGACCGTGGTTTACCCAGATACTTGAAACTATAGGCCTAGTACTTTTTTAGTCTTTATCTGCGTTATGCTATGTATTCTGTGCCTTATGGGATGTGTTCCCATAAGGCAATGCCTAAGCCGCATGACGGAACAGATCTCTGATCACCACGTACAATATTATAGGCTTCACGAAAGATTGTAACTGGGGCTGGGGTTTAGGTAGATGGGTTTAGATAGGTATAGGAAAATTGTGTTTGCGTTGTAACAGGGCAAGGCTTTATCGAGTGGGGAGGGGGAGATGTTGTATTAGGTGCCCTCAGGGCTATGGGATGTGACGCAACAGGACCTCCCCTGCTCAGTGATTGGATAACGCATGCTTAAGGGGTGTAGACGAAATAGGAGATGAATGTATTTAAACAGATGCCATGTGGTAATAAACGCCATTTTTCTGTCCACTACATTGGTGTATGCTGGCAGTTCTTGGTCCTGATCAGGGACTGATCAGTTAAGCAAAGGGTGATACAGCGTAATCTTAACATTTGTGGCAACACACAGGTGAGATTTGAAAGACATGCAGCACGACTGCATAAGCTAGATGAACACTGGCACACGTGGGTTTACATCAAAAGTATGTGACCAGAACATAAAAAGATTGAGATGGTTCTTTCAGAGAATTACTGTCAAGTGCTATCATCATACTGCGTCAATCTCCTATGATGATTGTTTTTATTTTTTTCCTCTCATGTCTCCAACGAATTTTTGATATTTCAGGTCTTACAAAAAATTAAGAAGATCTACTCCATGTAGATGTAAAGGAAATTTAGATTTTGCATCCTGAGGATGTGGATTTTTTTTTTTTTTTTTTTTTTTTAAGACCCAATGATTGTTCAATTCTTAGTCTTTTCCATCTTGAAAGCAGACAACATTATTAAATGAGGAGAGATCAAAAAAAACTTTTGTATGGTTGGTAATCTGTACTACACATGACAAGAAACTAAATTGGTGTGTCTCCTGGAAGGCATATTTCTTTGGAGTCTAAATAACTGAATGGGCAATGTAAATGCCATCACTGACAGTTTGTCTGTATGTTTGTTTTGGCAAGAGAAAAATGCAGCTCAAGAAGAACTAAATATAAGAATAAATACTAACAGCCTAAATAAAAGTTTAAAAACTTCAGATAGAACTAGAGTGGCATTGGGTGACCCTGCATGTCATTAAACATGCACAGAGGAGCAGGTAAAAAAAAAAAAAAAAAAAACCACACATTAGGAAGCAACAGTCTCTTTCTGGATGAGACCTGGCTTTTTATAGCTTCATAAATTCATTGCAACTACCTTTTTATTATAGAGAAAATTAACATTGAATTCAGAATAGTAAGAAATAGATCTGAGTCTAATTTTTTTCAAGGGTGGCCAAGCAGAGATAGGATAAGCATTTGTTCAGTCGTGTTACTAGTGTTAACATATGGAAAATAATTTTAAAAAAAAATGCATATATTTCTGTTGAGTCTATTAAAAGAGAAAGAAATAAACATTAGTTTTAAGTAAAATACCCACTTTTAATGACAAATGAAGATGTTCTTCTGATTGTGAGGATGCTGCTGCAGTTTGAAGTCAAATAGTTAAGATAGTACTGAGTTCATACTGAGAATTTATACTGATAGTTTATATTAAATTAATATACGAGTAACATAATTTGAAAAATTCCTGATTGTTCTTTTTCCAAAAAATATTTTAGAG